CACAATAGCACGCTGCAAGAGTAAGCGTGTCACAACAAAGGTCGCATCCACAATAGTGACAGGGGGACCTTCAGCCTCGGGAGGTGCTTCTGCAAGCACTTCTCAGGGAAACACAGCTGCTCCTACTCAGGCTGAAGTGATTGCCTCACCCTCCCCACTTCAGAGGATGACCAAGGCTCTTGACTCTATGATCGCCCCAAAGACAGATCCAGACCAATCTATACTATTCAAAATGGATGTGTCTGAGTCCTTAGAGGAGTTAGAGAAAGAGTGGGTAGAGAAGGGATCATCGTGACTCCTGGGCTATGATGAGTAGAGGTCCTAGGGGTGAACATTTTGTGGTAAAAGTCGATGTAGGTGGCTGTAAAGTAGGAGCCTTCGCAGAGACATCGCCTCTACACAAACTATCATTAGTCGATCTTGTGTGGATAGCTTGCGCTTAGGGAACCAAGTGCAGCGGCTTAGCAGGTTTGTAGCATCTAGCTTAGCCAACAAGCACTCCATGGTTGTCAGGGACTATGTCAAGGATGTAGTATATACCTTCTCCTATGGAGGAGGGGAACTGATACACAAAATCTCATTCCTAGTTAGCGACGAGCTGCCATTCGATATGCTGCTAGGTATGTACTACCTCAAGGTTGCTAAGCCTCAGGTCGATTGGGATAGGAAGGTGATGTTGTACAAGTTGTCAAATGGGAGGACCGTTAGTCTGCAGGAGTACAAGGCAAGTAGGCTAGTTAAGTCTTATGGTTGCATGTGTGCATCAACTTTCTATAATTATCACAAGCATAATCGAGAGGAAGGTTTGTATCTAGTCTTTGTCTTTGGAAAAGGGGAGGTCATAAAAACACCCCAAGAGATAGAAGCAATCATTGCTCAATATCCAAACGTTTTTTAGGAGCCTAGGGGCGTAGTCGAGAGGGAGGTTGTCCATGCTATTGAAGTTATTCCAGGTAGTAAAGTGCCTATAGGATGTCTCCTGCAGAGTTAGATTCGTCGACAGCTTAAGGAGCTCACAGAGAAGGGTTGGATTCGGCCTAGTATGTCCCCCTACAGTGCGCTTGTGTTGTTTGTTCCCAAGAAAGGGGGTACCCTTAGGATGTGAATTGACTATAAGGGCCTCAATGCCATCACCATAAAGAACGCTGAGCCCCTACCACTCATCGATGACGTCTTGGATCGAGTGCAGGGATGCCGGTACTTCACAAAGATAGATTTCAAGTCCGGATACCATAAGATTGCAACTAGGCCCAAGGATTAGCACAAAACCGCCTTTCATACCAGGTACGGTCTGTACGAGTTTGTGGTGAGGCACTTCGGTCTATGCAATGCTCCTGGGACGTTCCAGCACGCTATGAATAGGGTCTTTCGTGACTACTTAGGTAAGTTTATTGTTGTGTACCTCAATGATATCCTTATCTCTAGTAGGACTGTCGAGGAGGATGCCAAGCACGTTGAGATTATGTTAGGTCTTTTGCGCCAACACCAATACAACATCAACTTGGAGAAATGCGAGTTTGGTCGCACCAAGATCTTGTACTCGGGTCATGAGATTTTCGTGGCTGGATTGAGGCCGAATGATGCCAAGATTGCCAGCATACGTGACTGGCCTAGACCTCATTCTGTGATTGAGGCGACTAGCTATTACCGCCCGTTTATAAAGAACTATAGTACCATAGCTTCCCCATTAACGGACCTCACGCGCCTCGACACCCGATGGGAGTGGACAGATGAGTGCGAGGCAGCCTTCAAGAGACTGGAGCATGCCCTCACGCACTATGCAGTCTTGAAGCTTCCTGATTTTTTAGACGCCTTTTTTGGTGACCACAGATGCCAGTCAATATCGGTCCTTGTGCAACAAAAGGGGAAAAAGTTGAGGTTGATCGAGTACATGACCAAGAAGACGCCGTCTCAAAAGCTAGCTAAGTCCACCTACGACCGCGAGCTTTATGCCCTGTACAAAGCGTTGACTCACAAGTGGTACTACCTCCTTGGCATATTTTTCTATGTGAGGTCTGACCATGAGACTCTTCGTTTGATCAAGACACAACCTGCTCTCTCTAATGCTTTGAAGCGGTGGATTGGTCATAGTTATGTATGACTTCAAATTGGACCACCTCAAGGGAGAGTACAATAAGGTAGCGGATGCACTATCTAGGAGGGCAGACTATTTGGGCGCGCTAGTGACCGAGTTCGGGATATCTGGTGGAAGCTTATTGAGAGGATCCATTGATGTCTGAGATCATTCGCAAGCTTGTGGGCAAGGATAATGCCACATCATACGAATTTGTAGTGGTGGAGGGCTTGCTGTTCCTCGAGAAGACTGGGAATAAAAGGTTGTGTGTTCCGTCTAGTCAGTCTTTGCGTAGTTTACTTTTAGGTGAATGTCACGATCATACGAATTTGTAGTGGTGGAGGGCTTGCTGTTCCTCGAGAAGACTGGGAATAAAAGGTTGTGTGTTCCGTCTAGTCAGTCTTTGCGTAGTTTACTTTTAGGTGAATGTCACGATGCAACCGGTCTTTTGAGGTTCAAGAAAACGTTAGCTAATTTAGTACAGCGGTTTTGGTGGCCCACGATGCTGTACAATTCAAAGAAGTATGTTGAAACATGTCAGGTTTGTCAGCGTGACAAACCAAGGACACAGGCACCGCTTGGGTTAATCAAGCCCTTGCCTATCCTGCTGGTCCTGGTCAGAGTGTATCCATGGACTTCATGGATACTCTAGTGACCAGCAAGAGCGGCAAACGACACATCATCGTCATTGTGGACAGATTTAGCAAGTACGCTAGACTGATGGCCATGCCTGAGACTGCTAAGATTGACCTTGTAATAAAGTTATTTCTGGATAATTGTGTGCGTGACTTCGGTCTTCCTGAGTCCATTGTCAGTGATAGGGATGTCGGATTCACTAGCAAACTTTGGCAAAGTATGGCCCAACAGATGGGAACCCAACTGCAAATGACATCAGGTAATCACCCCGAGTCCAATGGCCTGGCAGAGCAGATGAATAGGGTAGTGCAGCATTTGCTCCGGCATTATATCAAGCCGAGTCAGAATGATTGGGATGAGAAGTTACCTCTCATCACCAGCCTGTACAACAATTTTGTGCATAGCACTACCGGCATGACTCCCAACCAGCTGCATCTTGGTTGGAAGCCCAGGTCTGCTCTTGACTTCCTGTTGCCTAAGAACCAGCCCACAGCAGCCCCTGGCATCATTGAATGTGCTGTCAAGTACGGCAAGATGCTGCAAAAGGTTGTAGAACAGATGAGAAAAGCTCAAGATGCTATGGTAGCATCTGAGAACAGGCACAAACGACCATCTGTGTTTCAAGTAGGTGAAAGAGTGTGGGTAAAGTCATCTGAGTTAGGACAAGAATTGGGAATAGCTCATGCCACAGTCTTTTGGTCTCTAGGAAGTTCTGGATATAGTCGGGAATGCACCTGATGGACCTTCCTACGTCATTCGCATCCCTGGTCATCTATGCACACATCCTGTTTTCCATGCCTCCTTTCTCTGAGACCGACAGCTTTTCGTCAAGGAGATGTATGCTGCCCGGACACGACATCATCGGGCACAAGGTGATGCCTGTACCAAAGCCTCCAGGCACGGGTCGACCACCGAAACCGCATATGCAGTATCGAGTGTGGTTTAGACACCACGTCAATCCGAATGAAGATCGATGGTTAACAAGAGAAGAGTTGATGAAGACTACTCCCCAGGTTATTTCCGAATATGAAAGAAGACTGAAGGGAAAACAACCCGCTGATTAAGGACTTCTCAGAGGAGTATCGAAGTAAAGGAGGAGGGAGTGCGAGGATTTGAGCCCTCTGCATACCTCTATGTGGCCCCTACAGCAAGCATTTGCCCGTCCTAAGTGAAGGTGTGTCCCTGAATCTCAATAAGGCCTGAATTCTTCAATTTTGCAAAGCCCTTGGTGGGCGTCAGACAGTTGCCATGCCGACAGTTGGTTACATCCGCCCTGCTCGTGAGAATCAGAAATATTTGTGAGCCTTCTAGGCTCTTCTAGCTACGCAGGGTAATCAAGGAACACCTAACGTTTGTGCATGGGTGGTTGGGCACGCCTAACCAAATCGGTCCCAGGCCACTGTCTGAATGGGCCTGGGCGCAGACACTTCGGCCCACAGTGAAGCTACTGGGCACGCACGAGTCCCAGCCAGGCAGCCAGCGAACCCGGCCACTTTCCGTTTAGGAAAGAGCCGGGCTACGGGGAAGGCATTCGGCACCAGCGTGGAAATGCGGCAGTGCTGCTGAACAGAGCGCCCACTGCTGCTAGCGCTGGGTGCCTGGGGGTTCGCGGGCGCTAGAGGGAAGGCTGAGTTCGCTGCTTTGGTTCTCCTTCAGTGTGATATCAGTGCATTTCTGCTTTCTGGACAGCTCACGATTATCTGGCTTCCAATGTGATTTTGCAATCTGAAATTCTGTCATATTGCTATTGCTCATTTTCCTTGCATTTATTTCAAAACAAGCCTTGTGCCCAAGGTAGTACAAGCGTATAAATACGACATGTAAATCAAGGGAAGATAGGCCTCCAACCTGCAACCTTGGGGGTAACCACACCCTTGGAGTTCTTCACTGGTCCATTGTCATTGGCAAATCTATCAAAAATATATAAAGCAAGTGCTCGGGATGCACACTACTTCACATTAGACTCCAAGTTTGAATCGCCTTACCCCTCTCCAAAAACCGAAGAACAATCAGGCCATCTCTCCTTCCCTCCCTTCTTTCTCTCCGTTATCTCTTCCTGTGTGTTGTCGCATGTTTGGTACATACTCGCACAAGGTGGTGCATGGCCATTGCTGCTATTACTACACTTTGTTAACCGGAGTAACCGCCGTAGGAGTTAGACTATCGGTCGTGTGGCTTCGTTTCCTTGTTTGGTAGTATCGCTATGGCTAACTTATCGACTGGAAGTGTGTGTACGTGCTTTAATTGCGGCGACCCCAATCATTTTGCTCGATGGTGTCCCCATCGGCAGAACCCTGGTAGTTCGGCGTCCACTGCTCCATCTGCTCCTTTACTTGCTCTTCCCGCGCCTGCTACCACATCTAATCTTCCCCCTCCCCCACCCCTTCCCCCACTTCCTGCTTCTAACAACACTACCTCAACTTCTGCACCTGTAATGTCGTCTGGTACGGCGACGTCCAATGGTCAGTACGGCAAGGGAAGTGGATGGTATAACACCAACCAACGGGTTGCTGCGCTCGAAGAGACGGTGAGTCTACTGAAGAATTGGTATGGCGCGGAGATGGCTAAGATTTTGGCCAAATGGGCAGAAGAAGCCCGACTACTGAAGGAACGTGAAGACGAAGAACGAAGGCTGAAGGAGAAGCAAGATCGGGAAAAATTCCAGAAGGAACTTAGTGACACTTGGAACGCAAAATTCGAGTCGGTGTGTGGTGCGCTGCGGGCGAACAAGGGCAGTAATGCGAGTGAGGTGGAGATCGAGAAATTGAAGAAGCAGATTGAGGACTTGAGGGTCAACCAAAGGCATGGGTTGACAAATCCGGGAGCGTCGACCAGTGCTCCGACTACTGGCAACGATGCTCTGCTCGCACGTATTCTTCAGGAACATGACGATATGAAAGACACGGTTAGAGGATGCTGCCGGTGCATGTAAACGCGTGGAGTCGTTGGAAACTGAAATACGTAGCCTGAGGCAATCGAGGGAGGAAGCTTTGCAGGAGGCAGAGACGTGGAAAAAGGAAGCGTTGAAGTCGGGCAACAAGAGGAGCAGGATTGCGACCTCACCATCCTCTAGTTTGAAGATGCCTCCAGCTGCTACTCCAGCGAAGGGACTTCAGGAAATACACAATTTGGAAGTTGAAGCTCTCAAAGCCTTGAGGCTGAAAGAACTTAATTGGAGATGGGAGGCGGAGCAAGAAAATGAGCGGCTAAAGCAACAACAGCGGGAAATGGAGCGGGAGCATGCGCGTTTGAAGGAGGAGTTGTCAAAAAGAGGTCAAGATAAGCGGACACCGTTATCAAGTTTCCGTGAAAGATTGGATGAAGCCGATGGCCCTGCGGACGGGTTGGGGGCAAGAACCGTAAGAAAGAAGAAGTCCGCTAGCGGTAGTGACGAAGCAAGGGACAACGATCGGGATGCCTTCATGAGGGAGGAACGGAAGGAGTTCAGGAACCTGAAAAAGGACGGCGTTATGGAGATATGTTTGAGGGAAGACGTTAAATACACTATCCTCACGGAGACAGTTACTGAGATTATTGCCAAGCGGGCGGAACGTGCTTTTGGGAAGCGAGCGGTGGTGCAGGAGATCTCTGATGACTTGGCTGAGGGAGGGCAGGATAGTGATAAGGGCGACGGGAGGGACTCAGCTGTTTCTTAGGGTCCTTCCCAAGCGCGGCTACTCTTTGGTCTCTGGCTCTGTCCTGCTCTCAACTACGATCTTCTTCCACTCAGTACCTCCGGTTGAAGCCGTTGGACTCTCTTTTTCGCTTGATTATTCTAGCACTTATTCTGTCCGATTCTATTCCATGGGCTGTCAAACTGTCTCCCTATCTCTCTAGCTGGTGGCTTGCTGGTGGTGTGGTGCATGGCCCTCTGGTGTATGTTCTTGTGTCTCCTTGGTGCAGACATTTGTATGTGGGAAGTACTGCACGGGATCTCTCGACTCGTTGGAGTGAGCACGTCTATCGTGCATGTGATGCAACCTTGGCTGATAAGGGAAGGAGGAACGAGCGGCTGTATCGTTGGCTCCGGAGGTGTGGAGCAGGCAGGTATGTGGCGATTCCAATTTGCAGTTGTCCGATAGAGGATCTCGTCACAACTGAGAAGTTTTTCATTCGACTATTCTCTTCGTCTCTCAATGTGAGGGACAAGCCGAAAAGGGTGGGGCGACGGCGACTAGGAAGAAGGGAGAGGGCACGGCTGGCTCGCAAAAAGAATGGAGTGGATGGCGATGTATTGAGGAGTACGTCTGGACGATCCTTACTTACCTTCTATCCTTCTGGATGGCAGACGTCTTCCAGCCTGCTTCGGATACTGAACTACTGTAGAGATAACTGTGTGTCCTCCACTGTTGTGGTATGTAAGGGAGGACCGTTGTTGCTCAATAACTGGAAAGTGGTAAAACACTGCTATGGTTCTTCGGTTATATCCTGTGAGTTTGGTCGAGATCAATTGCGATGTTCCCGGGGTTGGTTACGTGATGGTGTTAGTGTGAGATTCGAAACCATTGTGCCTCACTGTTGCAGGTCTCTCTCCCTCAAACCCCTTCTTTCTGGGTTTCTTGGTCTTCCAGCTTCTAGGAGGATTTTGTCATCATGGAACTTTTCTCAAATGGTCTATGCTTTTTCTGCTATTTGATGCTTTCAAGAGAAACGTACGAGATTGTGTGTGCTTTTGTCTAAGGTGGTGTTCGAAAGGTTCGGGATCCAGGTGCGACAACGATTGGTTATCCGGGTTATGTATGACCACCGGTATTGTAAGGCGGAAATTCGGAGGACGTGCGCGCGACTGGTCAGGACGCTCAATATGGAACCCGCATGGGAGGCAATGGTAATCCGGCGTATGAGGGTGGTTTTTTGTCAGAATCTTTCGGTTGGCGATGTGATACACAATTTTCGTGATGTTGCTAGATCTGGGGATTTTGAGTGCTGTTGCGCCGATACCGCTGCGTCGTTTCCTCGGGAGAATGGTCATGTGGTCTTTCGGCTTGCCACACGTGAGGATTTTCCACCTTGCATGACTAACTCTAGGAATGTACTTTGTCCCTCTATCGATCACCCTGTTTCTAGTCTTAGGCGGCAGATTATCAACTCCTTTGAGTCTGTCCGTTCTCTTCCCGATGTGGATCCTCGCGTTCTTAACTACAACTTGCTGGCCCCTTGTCTTCTTCAATCAACTTCTACCCCTGCTTTGTCTATGGATGTGTGCTCGGTCGACGGTGTGAGGACTTCTCTGGGAAGGATGGACGGTCTGATCCGCTCCCCCCTGGACCACAACCCTGGGGATACCCTTGTCTGCTGCCCCTCTGTCTATGGGTTGGGTATGAGAAAGTTATTTTTGGAAAATCCATCTTTCGTGGAGATCCAGGAATCTAAAGAAGTAGTCCAGGAGAAGTGCAGAAAGTCGTACATCGATAAAGGATTTGGTGAGATTGGTAATTGGAAGAGAGGAGCAATGCTTGGGCGGGCGTATTGCCTTGCCAAGCACAAAGATACCACAAGGTGGCGACCTATCTGTCCGTCGCATTATGAAGGATTTGTGTTAGGTGCGAAGCGCGTGGCTCGTGCTATTAACTGCATGTTATGGAGGCTGCCTTATAGTCTTCATTTCAACTTGAGGCGAACGGATGAGTTGATGGATAGGATTGCCCGCATCAACGGGAAGTTGAAGAAGGGGGATGAGGTGATCGGTGGTTCTTTTGACATCAAAGAAATGTTCTCCAACTTGACGCATCAGGCAATCCTACAATCCCTGCGGTGGATTCTGGATTATTGGTTGGGAGAAGGGGTTGTGGGTGTATTGGTCCGAAAGTTTGGAAGGATGGCGCATTTGACCAGCGGCAGAGGTGAGGATGGGTGGATTCGAGGAAGGTTGCATACTATTTGAGAGTTTGTGGAGTATGAACTGAACAACACAAATGTAGTGGCGTCTGGGCGAGTCATCCGACAGGTGGTCGGTATTCCTATGGGACAAACCACTAGTCCTGCTCTTACATGTTTGGTATGTGCTTTCAATGAGTTTTCGTTTCTGTCGTCCATTGGCTCTGACAGTTCACTGATCCACGGATACCGGCTTGTGGATGATGTTTCCCTCTTTGTCAGTTTTCGACCAAATGATGTGGCGTCAAAGGCCAAGGCCGAACATATGTTTGAACGATTTCGTACATGCTATGATAGGAATTTGGTGTTAGAACAGACTAACACAGGCCAATGTTGGGAGTTCATTGGATGTGAGGTTTCGGTCCTGGACGATCCTTGTCGAATCATTTGCTGTGCCACGCACAAGAACCAAAAGGTGGAAGTTGGTCGGTCTCTCGTCTTCCAGTGTATTCAGGACTTCGTCTCCTATTCCAGTAAGCAACAGAAACTGGCGGTCATCTGTTCTTTCTTTCATAGAGCAAGAACGTACACATCTGTCCCTGGTCTCGAATTCTACTTTCTGCTTACTTTGAAGAATGAACTGTGGATTCGGGGGTATCCCGATGAATTTTTCGATAAGGCTCTGCGAAACTTCTCACGAAAATTTGCAGGCTGTTGGGATATCTGGATTCCAATCCTGACTGCTTGGGGACGTTCGCTCTACGCAAAGATGAGGAAGGAAGCATGATGTCTTTCCCTCGCTCATGTTGGCTCGATTCATGTGTTAGGACTTGCAGGTTTGGGTCTTGACATTTGAAGTTCGCGGTTGGTCCGATGAGATATGGTGTGGGAATCTATTGGGTATGGCAGGGTTGATCGAATTGGTGATGTGTTTGTAGGTACGTAGCAATGGGATGAGTTGTCTGAGGTATGTAGTACGAGAACAGTGGGGTAGGTCAACTGGATTAGTATGAAGTAATGGATGAGTTGTCTGAGGTATGTAGTATGGGAATTGTTGGGTAGGTTAACTGGATTGGCTGGTTTACGGTGGAAATATTTGTTTTTTTGATGATGACTCCCGTGTCATTAGGGAGGAAAAAGCAAGGGAGGACCTGCTCTGGGACCTAGAGACAGTAAGGGAACAGGCTGAACAGGAGTACAGCAAGGAACCTGAAAATTTTCAAAAGCGGACACAGGAAATAATTGAGCTCAAAGAGAACGAAAGCAAAACTGAAAACGGGCAAAAAGCAGCTAACCCACAGTGTGAGAACAAAAGAACCTTAGACAACAGCCCAATCAGAGAGAAAGGACAGGCTGATTCGAAGAGGAGGAGGGCTAACACCGCTGAAGGCACTGAAGGCGGAGTTGCAAGCCCACAAAACAGTGTAACGGAGAAACCTGCTAAAGACTCGGACTTTGCCATGGACGAAGAGGACAGCGATGACAGCAAAAGCTCAAGTGGCTCTGCCCCCATCAGCGACTCTTCAATGGCTCCGTGAGTACATTGAAAAGGCAAGGAGGGAGAGGGAACACCTCTTCAACATCCAAACAGCGTGCCTAAAACACATAGAGAGGAATCTGAAACAGGGCACAATCGCGGGCATCCAACCATCTTCCAACAAATACGAGTTGCTCGAAAAAGAAGAAGAGTTCTCAGAGTACGCTGCATTCAGGTACGCAGAGAAGAAAAGAGTCAGAGAACAGGGCCAGATGGATGCAAAAGAGAACAACAAGGATTCTAACGATCCTTTCCAGGATCTGCGCCCGAAGAAATGGAAAGCAGCAAAAGTACAGAAGAAGCAAGACCCCAACCATGGTCAGACAGAAACTGCCAAGAAAACAGCACGCTCTGACCTTGAGTTGGAACTCGCAGTCATTGAGGCCCAAGCAGAAAAGCTGAAGAAGCTCAATGCTGCATACCAACCGGAATTCACATCCCTGCAACACATAGCTGAGGGTAAAGCCCCGCATGTACTTCAACAAGCCAGATCGGCCAGACTTACTATGATGGGACTGCAGCCGTTGTTAGCCGCTCGGTATGTAGAGGAAACCGGTGAATGGCAAGTCGCCACAGAAGTCTCCTTCGCGATCCCGTTATTTGAAGAGGGGCAGAACTTGGTGTCGGTAATCCGTGAAAAAATTACCGACACATATCCGTTGGGTGTGTATCAAACGGAAGACTCAACGAAATTCTCTGGGGGACAAGAGATGGGAGGGCTGCATGAGGATCAGCGAGTGACCCTTACTGACCCAGCGGACCCCAGACAAAGCTCCTTCACCCCCCTGATCGCCAAGATGCCTGAGAAAACAAGATTGAAAAGAGGCATGATGTGGAGATCATGGGACACAGTTACTGCAATTCCGTACAGTGTGTTGTCAGGTCTGGGAATCCCGGCGGAGCTGCCTGCAGCCTCGCTAGCTGACATCCTCAGAGCTGGTACACTTAACGGGGAGGCAGACCTGGAAACCAGAGCTTATGCCATGGATCTGGACTGCTTCTACAGGGATGAATTCTAGGAGGAGGACATGGAGGACTGGGCTGGCGATGAGCGCACAGACCAGGACCCCCTGGGCTCCCCGGGGAACCATGCCAGTGGCAGCATAGGAGAATATAAGATCGATGATCTGGGGGTGAAAACCAAAGTGGACCCACCSGTGACAGKTCCRAACACCTCAATCTCCACGGATCCGGGGGCCTGTTGAATGACAATTTTGCATGTCCCTAAAATTATAGGTCCACAATATGGAGGGGTTTAGGAATAAAGCAAATCAACAGGCCCCCAAACCCAATTGGAAGACCCAAGGCATCACCATACGTAGATGGAATGTGAATGGGTTAGGAAACATCCTAAGCAAGGAAAATAAACTAAATGACATAATCAAAGGCCTCAAACAGGAAAACAACAAGTTGGCGGACATTATATTGCTTCAAGAGACTCATCTAACGAACCACAATGATCACAAAAAAATACAGAATTTTTTTATGAGAAAGGTAGGAGGGATCAAGGATGTAGTTTGGTCCTCAGACAATAATTCTAGTAGGAAGGGAACTGCAATACTAATCCCGAAGAGCTCCAAGTTCTATGGTGCAGGGACGGTAATCAACACAGGAACTGATGAGATCGAGGGCAGGTGGAGCTTTATGGACCTAAGATGGAAAGAAGAAGAATTCAGAGTGATCAATGTCTACKCTCCCAACGACCGCAACGACAGATCTACTTTCGTTGAATCCATAGGTCACCTAATTCCGCCCTTACAAGCTTGCCTAATTGGGGGAGACTGGAATGCCACTTTGGACCCGGTCAACGATCGTATATCCAGAGCAACCTCACCACAACCCTCTCAAGAAGCAGCTCCAGTCCAAAAACTCATCCTAGACCACAACCTGGTAGACCCCTTTCGCACCTTGCACCCTACTACCAAAGCCTTCTCCCTTGTTAAGAAAAATCATGCCCACCACACAACATTCTCTCGCATAGACTACTTCCTCGTCCTCGACCACCTCATGGGGACAATCAAGGAAGCGGAAATATTGGCGTTGGCGCCGTACCCAGGCCTAGACCATAAACCTATTGAGCTGATCATTAGTTTCGACCAATATATCCAAAAGGGACGCAGTTTCCACAAACTGAATAACTCGCTCCTACTTAGTCAAGAATTTCATGAAGGGATGTCGACGAGCTGGCACAATCTCAGAGGAAGCTTTGTCACACGTCAAGACAGGTGGGACTGGTTCCAAAAAAGCTACCTCAAGCTAGCTGAAACAACCGCTATAATATCAAGGAAAATGGCCAACGACAGGAAACGGAGGAAATTGATGCTGGAAACGACCCTCGGAGTAGCGGAAAAAAACTTGGCCACCAACCCATCCTCGCCAATGTACACAGAAGTACTAGAAAGGACAAGAGAAGAACTGGCTGTATGGCATCAGTGGGAACTGAAAGGACTCCAGATTAGAGCCAGAATGACCGACCTGGAACTAAATGAACAGATGTCCAAACATTTCTTTGCCAGAATAAAGGCAAACAACAGATCCAGCTCAATAGAGGGTCTTAAAGAGTTGACAGGCCAACAGGCAACTCGCACAGATAGTGAAGGGATGCTAGAGATTGCAAAGAACTTTTATAACGAACTGGATCGATCTAAAACACCAACAATCACCCCCTCCAATACCCGAGCGACAAGGTCAAAAATGTTACAATACCTAGAAAAGACAATATCTGAAGATCAAGCTAACAAATTGGATCAACCGTTATCCATAGAAGAGCTACAGTTCGCGGTCCAGAACATGAACAACAATAAGACCCCAGGCATCGACGGACTAACAAAGGAATTTTGGGTGAAATTTTGGCCCCTAATGGGTTCGAACCTTATGGATTTCTACAACGACAGCTGGGAGAAAGAGGGTATGGGCGAATTCCTCAGTACCAGTGTGGTTACACTT